CTTGTCACAGTTGCGCTTGGCATGAGGTTCATTAATGGCGGCGATGATGTGGTCTGGCCGACGGCGGCGATTTTGACCAGACTTGGGTCCTTCTGGCCGATCACGGCCGCTGTCACGATGGTAATTGCGATCATCATAGCGGCGATCATTGTGACGTTAGTCATCGAGGCGGTCGTTGTAGCGGCGTGTTGGGCGATGAGTGCCCGCATCCTCATTAAAGCGCACCTCGGTTTCCTTGGCGTCGGCGTATTGGTTGGCGGTCGTGATTATCTCGCCAATCCCTGTCGGTGGCTTGCGGTTGAACTTGGAGTGAAGCTCGCGGTGATGGAGTCCTCGGATGAAGGCGGTGATGACCTAAGCTTCCGTGATATTGGGAATAGAATTCCTCATCTCGAAAAAGCATCTGATGTAGCTATGGAGGAGCTCAGACGGCTTCTGGTTGATGTGGTTGAGATCATGCTTGGTGCCCGGCCGAGTACACGTAGCCATATAATTGTTAGTGAAAACTTTTTTTAGCTCTTCCTAGGATCCGATGGAGTCCGGAGCAAGGCTTGTGAACCAGTTCATGGATGTTGGCGTGAGCATGATGGGAAGATAGTTCGCCATGACACTGGTGTCTCCTCCGGTGGCGCGGACAGCAGTGGTGTAAGCCTATAGCCACTGTGTTGGGTTCATCCTTCCTTCATAGGGCTTGACCCCAGTGATTTTAAAACCACGGGGCCACCAAAGTGTTTGGAGTGCCCTCTTGAATGCTGGGGGCCCTTAGGGGTTGTCGGCATCGTCGTCTGCAGCGTTGCCGGCATTGAGCGGCTCGAGAGCCATGTCCGTGTTACCATACTGTTGCTCGTACTCCTGGTGGCGGCGTACTTCTTCTTCTTGACGACCGAAGCGGCGTTCGTCGATACGTCGTCGTGCATCTCAGAGATTGTTGAGGTGCACTCAGACGTCCTGGTTGATCTCCTAGTTGTGTTGGCGGTGATGTTCGATGCTGTTGCCCCTAGCTCCGCCCTAGAGGGGTTGCCTATCATCGCGGTGCTGGTTGGTGAAGCGACTTGGGCGGCAATCAGATCTTTGTGTGGCTGATCGGTGAATCAAGGTTGTGGAGCATGAAGGTCTCTGATCCTGGCGGATCTTGTTGACCTAATAGTGCATCGCTTTAAGCATGGCGGCGACCTTGGCGACCTCTGGTGTCTGTGGGAGCCAGGCGAGCTCGTTGGCGGCCACTGCCAGATTGACGCTTGGAGTCTTGTAGACGTCGTGGCCGTCAACATGGACAAACTCATCATCGAGGTTGCGCTGGAGTGGCCTTCCTTGCGAGTCCAGCTGCTGCTCGGCCCTTATAAGGGCAGCCTCATTTGCTCGGCGCTGCGCACGGTTGATGTTCCGGTTCTCGTGAGCGGCATGTTCCTCCTTGGTTTCGCCGTTCCGAGGGGGGCTGTCGACGCTGAACGTTGAAGATTGCACCGCCGTGGAAAGGAGGGAGAGGAAGTAGCTCGGTGGTGGTTTCGGCGATGGTCTCCGTAGAGCCTTGGGACTCGAAGTCTGGATTTTCCTCCAGGATGGTTTGGAGGGATGCTCTAGGGCGTCGGCCAACATGCAGCATGTTGATGGCCGACGGAGGCTGGTCGACGATCTGGTCGGTGGGAGGATGGACATCTCCCACCTGGTCGGCGAATCTACCCCTTAGGGCATCTCGGTAAGCGGCGACGGCATTGGTGAACCCGAAGGGTAGGGCCATAACCCTTGGAGTTTCCTGAGCAGCCTTCGATAGATCTAGATCGAAGGGTGGTCGGCGCTGAGCCAGAGTGTCCAGAGCCGATTCGATGATAGAGAGGCAATCGGTGAGCTTCTGACCAACCCGATCGATGGATGCGATCAAATCGTCGTTGTTGATCTACCTCCTCTGGTAGCGAGGAAGCAGGCGGCAAGTTGTCGATGAAGGCGACCTCGGAGGCGGTTTCGAGATTGGATCTGCAGTCGCAGGTGTTGGGGTGGTCGGTACAGAATCGATCTGCACCTGCTCGATGAGATCTCCGACTCCATCAGCATTGATGATCCATGAGATCGATCCGACCGTGAATATCTAGGGCCGGGCTACGGGAGGGACGAAAGGCCAATAGAAAAAGCCATCTTGTTCGACAAGGAAACAACACGCACACCCCTACCTTGTGGGCCAACTGTCAATAGAATATCATCGGTAGTCCTCCGAGGGGTATCCCACGAAGGTAGATTGGTCGGCAGAGAAGCGTGTAATCAAGAACAAGAAGGCAACAGAGACACACGAGTTAGACATGTTTAGGCCGTCAGTATGACATAATACCCTACTCCTATGGTCTGTTGGTTTGTATTAGCTATCGTATGATATTGCGTGAGTTTGGAGGGGTCCCTACCCGCCTTATATAGTCCGAGGGCAGGGTTACAAGTCGATTAGATCTGAGATATAACTGGAAAGTAATAAAAGATTACATGAATCTTGGGATCATATGTATCCTAACAGATCTCGTAGTATCTTTAGAATATCTTCCCAGTGTCTTGCGGGAGGTGCCGAGCAGAGTCATGCCCCGCAAGGCTTTGTTTTGTGGGCTGGGCCGCCCTAGGGGCGTAACCCATGTGGTCTACCGTGGGTATCTGGGGTCGTACCCCCCACAGTGTGCCCGATGGAACTGCGTAATTTAGTGTTCTCCTTCGAGTGCTTAGTGTCTAATGGAAGACGAGCACTCCTCGGAGGCATTAGATTAGGCGGTTCTGCCACAGTATCAGAGCCAGGTTATCTAGTGTGTAGATCAAGTTTGGGGTTGAAATTGAAAAGAAATCAAGGAGATAGAGAAACAGAGGGTTCGATTCATTTTGGATTGAAACCCTAACCCTAATCGGGGGAAGAAACCGAGATGCAGAGGGTTCACTCAAACCCTAACCCTGACCCACAGAGACAGCTTGGGGAAGAAGAAGAACATTCAAACCCTAACCCTAACTCGACCTAACCCTAACCCTAACCCTAAACCCCAATCAGACAAGATCCGAGAAGAATAGAGCAAGATCCAATCAAAGAGAAGAAGGGGAAAGGGGAAGGGCTTGGGAGATGACCTACCTCGCCGCTGCACCACGCTGCTGCTTCGTCGATGCATGAGAAGAAGGCCGAGTTGCTGCTGCTCATCGGGCTTGCGCAAGCTCTGGCCAAGGGCGCCGCGGCTAGGCCGCTTGACGGCGGCGCGCTCACCTGTAAGGGAGCGCGCGTGCTGGCGATAGCGCCACCACCTCTCCGCCTTCTCTTAGGGTTAGGGAAGCGGGGCTACTTGGGGTCAAGTGCAACAGCGCAAGGTCGCTCGATGGCGGAGCGCTCTGCCTCGGGCGAGCGCGCTCACCGACGAGGGGCCCCGTGGTGGCGCCACCATCTCCGACCACCGAGATTTTAGAGAGAGAAAGGAGAGAGAGCATAGAGCCGGCCGTCGCGGGCAAGAGAGAGAGACAGGGGACGAGAGTGAACTAGGGTTCTAGGGAATGGCGTTGCTTGGGCTTTTTGTTCGGCCGTGGCGCACGGAGGACCGTCGGATCACATCCGACGACTGACAACGCACGGGCCGGCATTAGGCCCAGGCGGGTAACGTGAATCCTGGCCTAGGCCCAGATTGCGGCCAGGGCGTGGGGACACGAGAGCGCGCACGCGCGAGCAGGCCGAGATGGGCCGCGTGTTGCCGCTGCGAGTTGGGTCTCGAGCTGATTTTTATTAGTCGAGGCCAAATGTAGTTGCTGAAGTTCTTTTTTTAGGATTTATTTTTCAGAAGCAGTTTTCATGTTTTAGGCTATGTTTTCATGTCCTATCTCTGTCAAAATTTGAACCAACGGGGTAATTTTTTTTAGAGAGTAGATAAGTACAGTAAAATGCTTCTGAAAAGTAGGCAAACTTTCATTTTTCCACTGTAAAGTTTAATGTTGATCATCTTCTAATTAAATTCGAACCAATGGGAGAATTTGATTTGAAGAGCAGTTATATTTAGTAAATTATGATCATGTTCATCCTCTAATTAAATTGGAGCCAACGAAAAAATTTACTTAGGGGAGTAGTATGTTTTGTTTAAGTCAGATTATGGTATTGTCAATTTCTGACCAACGTTGATGATGATAATATTATAATTAGTTCAAGTTTGAGTTTGAAATCTTTGATAAATTTCACACCAACATGGACAATTTTTAAGAGAGTAGATAAGGACCAAGAAATGTTCCTAAACTAATAGAATGTATTTTATTAACATGTTTCCGCTGCGATGAAGTGTTGATTATCTTTCAATTAAATTCGAACCAATGGAAGAATTTAATTTTGAAGAGTAGTTGTATGTATTTCAAGTTGATTTATGAGTTTTTATGCATTAATTCTATTTTCTTCCCAGCAGTGATGTAGAACTAATGCAGAAGCATATTGTATGTTTTATCTTTAACCGATGAGATCACTCGGCTGCATGCCAACGGGCTGCAATGCTGAGGTATGTGAATCACTACACCACAACCCTAATATAGCGTCATATGTGTGTCGCTATAAATATATTAATACCATCGAACCGTCGGTCGGTATAGCTGGGCCACAGATCATGTGTCGTTAAATGTACTTTTTGCGATGGATGATCGGTCGGTATAGATATTTGGCTGTAGCATCAAACAATCGATCGGGATAAATCAATAAAGAGGACGAACCATCAGTCGTTATATAGGGCCGTGTCTTTTGCGTGGGCTTAAGGTCCGCCCGCGGGAACTGAAAAATGAAAAAAAGTTCCATCGTAGGAATCTAAAAATGAAAACAGGCCCTTCGCGGTAAAAGTTGGGCCCAAATACTGCTAACCCTGACCTTTCCATTCACTCTCCCTCAGCTAGCCGCCGCATTCGCTCTCTGCGCCCGCCCGCCCCGTCCTTCGTCGCACGGCGCGCCCGCCCGCCCCATCCTCCGTCGCGGCGCGCGTCCGCCCAACTCCACTGCCTCCACCGCCCAAGACCGCCCAAGACCATCGCCCATGACTGCCGCCGCCGTAGCCCAGTTGGCGCCCCAGCCGCTGCCGTGCAGCCCTTCGTACGCAGCCCTCAATTACGACTGTGCGTGTCTCCTCCCCTCATCCTCATCGATTCCAACCAGCGATTTGATCTGGTTTCCGTGACGCTTCTTTGCCGCAGTTGTTCGGATCCGCAACGACGTACTGCGGCGTGGGCTGGACCGGCTGCGAGGACGAGGTGCCCTGCGACGACATCGACGCCTGCTGCTGCCACTTTCATCCTCATCTCCGCCGCTAAGCATGGGGTTCCTCCAGGTCTATCTGGCCGACGCCGTTGAGTGCCTCGCCACTTGAGGTTCGTGTCCCCTCCTCCTCGATCTCGATCTGGTGTTTTATCTTGACCTGCCTTAAGAGTTGCTCGATCTCGATCTGGTGTTTTATCTTGACCTGCCTTAAGAGTTGCTCGATCTGTCTACCTTCTTCGCGAACTCGATTAGTTTTTCTACTACAGTTTCAGTACATAATGGCGTTCAATTGGTGCGATCGGACTCTTTGTTCGCGTGACTAGCGACACTCAGCGGGCCCCCGAGGCCCTGCTGCAGTGATTCTTCTCCCCAGCTGAAGACGAAGAGACCCAGCAGCCAACCGGACCTGCTGCTGTTCCTCCGTGCCCAGCGACCAAGCAGGCCAGCCATTCCGTCCTGCTGAACAGATAGGCACATCAGACTTTAAGGTTAGTGTGCCTTTGAATGTGTACATTGGAATACAAGGAATTTTACCGAGGTTATAGTTCTTTTCTTCCTACCTTCTTCAGGTTACAACAATAGGTACTATGTAAATGTAAATTGTGTGTTCCTGTTATACTAGATTCACATCTGTAAAAAAATCAATTCGGTTGTAAGTGCCATATCGTTATGCTGAAAAGAACGACTCTTCTTCAGCCATTATTTATTCACAGTTTAACACTGATAAAATACCTACGAAGAAGCAAATATAATGGTTCCCTTTTGCAGATTGGGGTAAAGAGAGATGGCTAAAATATATCATGTCAAGTTCTTGTGCAACTGATATCTGCATGCAAATCAACCCCCTCTAGGAGGTCCCTTCATGTATACACTAATTACAAAGGTATGCCATTGTTTCCAGCATTGTCAGATTTCCATTAGAAACTTATATGTTTAGTTTCTAACTGCATACATGCATGTTCTTATTTATGTAGGCATCGAATTTCAAAACGACAAATTTGCTCAGGTTATACTCTCCTCTTGCTACAGCTGCTAAAATAATAGCATTGTAATTTATCTTTATGGGCCTCTTCGCCAAATGCACTGTAGGTGGTCCTCTAATTTGTGTTTACTCAGTTTGCTTAAATTTACAGTGGATGATGCTACCTCACCTCTAATTTAACTTTATTCTATTTGCTTATATTGTCTACAAATTTCTTATAGCCAAATTCATTCCAGCCAGGCAACTTGCAATCTTTTGGAGATTATTTGAACAGCCACAACGTTGGCAGTTGCTCTTCTTGTGCGTACTGGTATGATCCTCTTTCTGTAGGCCATCTTTTTTAATATTGTTGTGGACATGAACACGACAATCGTGTTTAAATTAAAACTGTTCTGTGGATTCATGGATATGAGCAGGATTGTCAAAGTATGTAGCTTCTTTGCTGCTTATGGTCTTTTTTTTTATTTTATAGTTCATTTCTAAAGCTGCTTGATCTTTCACAAAGGGGAATGGATAAATCATGGATCGATAATGATGCTAGGTACAAAGACTTATTTCACAAAGAGATGTGTTTGACTTTGATAATTTGGAGGATGAGGACATAAATAATGATAATGATACTATGGCAATTTTGCTTCATGAAAAGATGGTGTGCAATTATCACTTTATTTTAATACGAGTAAAAAGGGGCTCACATGTCATTTTCTGCAATATTTTGTACTAATGGATAGTGTTTGCATCAACAGATTTGACAGTAAGGGTGGACAGGAAGGCTGGGAGCTGCAGCGATGGTGGTACAGATCAGCGGCCAAACACACCGCGGTCAAAACACTCGGCCACAGAGCAGCGCAGACGCAGCAAGATCAATGATAGGTGCTTTGATGCAGTAATTTTATGACCAGTTATAAGCTCGTAAATAAGTTTTGACCTCTTTATGGATTATGTTTTTATTTTACTCCACATTCCTACAGGTTTCAGATACTTAGGGAGCTGTTGCCACACAATGATCAAAAGAGAGACAAAGCAACATTTCTCTTGGAGGTAAGGTTTCAACAGGTTTCCTGTTTTATCGAAGTAATCTTTCGCAGTTGATTAACACATGATTCCTTTGTGCCATCCTTTCTAATGCAGGTTATTGAATATATACGGTTTTTGCAAGAGAAAGTGCAAAAATACGAGGCAACATTCCCAGAATGGAACCAAGAAAATGCAAAGATGCTTCCATGGGTAATTGCTTCTTTCTCCAAAGCTGCAATGCTTGCTACTGCTGTTAGGAAAGGAACAGTCAATTCTTGATTGTCTGTGTCTGAATGTCGTTTTACATTTTTGCAGTCAAATATGTATTTTCGATCATTCTGGAAAAATGCACAGGCAAGTGTTTGTTGCTAAAAATGCATTTGCCTTACCGAATTGTTAACGTTGTATCGATAGTTTTCAACCAACATCTTATGCATGCTTGTTATTCTTGTGCTGCAGAGTAAAGGCCAAATCCCTGGAGATTCTCTGCTTGACCCTTCACATTTCATGAGAAATGGATCCTCCCCTGGATCTAATCTCACAGGGAAACTCGATGATAATCACAACATAGTGACATCTGCAGCTGCATCAGGGGCACAGGATCAGGCAGAAACTGATCACATGGCTAGCGGGTGCTACAGATCAGCAGATACACCGGCGAATATTACAAGTATGATCAATGGTTCACATATATTTTGCATTATTCTCAGAAGTGCTTTCTGAGACTAGAAGCAGCACTGGTTACTTATGAGTCTTCTTTGTATGCAGATAATGCTATATCTCAGTCCCAACCTCAATGGACAGGTCCATCCCCTGTGGATGATTCTTCAATGAACAGGGAAATGCTTAACAACAGCAGTTGGCGATAGATGAAGGAACGATCAGTGTGTCCAGTAACTATTCCCAAGAGTATGTCACAAACTATGTTACACGGATACGTCCAGGAAGCCGCGTATCGCGTATCAGATACGTATCGGATACGGATACGTGTCCGATACGCCCAGGATACGTATCCTCGGAGTATCCGAATTTTTTTTCTTTTCGCGAATTATGGATACGTGGGCTGATACGTATCAGCCTTGTGGATACGTCCCAGCCCAGTAAACAACCCTTCCTCTGACCTCGACGCCCTAGAGAAGAACGAATCGACAGGGAGAGCAGAAAAAGGAAGAGGAAGTGAGGAACAAATCGACAGGGTCGCAGATGCCGCACGCTCCGCTGCCCGCATCCGCGACATCCCCGTTCGGCGCTCTCGGCTCCGAGCTCCGAGCTCTCCGATTCGCCTCACAGGTACCGCCGTGCCGCTCTCGGCTCCGAGCTGCTTATCGCACTGCCGCCGATTTGCCTGGCCCAGCAAGCCGCTGCCGTCGGCCTCGACTGCCGATTCGCTGGAAGCCGCGCGCCGCTACCTCCACTCGCCTGGCACCGCGCGCCGCCGCCGCCGCCTGAAGCTGCTCGCGCCGCGCTCCGAGGCTGGCCTAGGGTTAGGACCTGAGAGCGGATTGGGGATTTGGGGCTGGCTGAAGTCACGAGTGGTGGCGTGGTGCCGCTGGGGGCTGACTGAAGTGAAGTCTGCTCTTTACGTGGACTTTGGTGGGCCGTCGCTGGGCTGGACCTGAGTGGATGCTGCTATTTCTGTGGTCCACATTATTCTTATTTTTATTTTATTTTTTAAATAGTAAACGTATCCGCGTATTGGGTTTTTTGAGAAATTGCCGTATCCGCGTATCCGTATCCTTCCGATACCGATACACGTATCCGTATCTGTGCAACTTAGGTCACAAAGAATATAAGTTATTTATTGCTCACTCCATTCAAATATGCTTGTCACATTTGATTATGCATAGTCGTCGGTGCATATCTTTGACCAATAATTTCTTCTGCAACATATTCTTAGAATTCTTCAAATTTATGATATTTTTGCTAGTATTTTAATATTCTTCAAAACCATGACACGGTGGCGTTGGTCCAATGAGTTCTCCCTGTCCACAGATTGAAAAAAAACCAGTGTTTTTCACTAACATTATGCTTCTTTTTAAGTGTCCTCGACATGTATTTGATTGATTAAAAATAGCAATTTGACCACATCACCACAGGCCTATACTTGTTACAACTGTTAGATAATGAACAGTGGATTTGCCAAGTCCATCTTAGTGACAGGTAGAAAACTGCTCATGGCTACTCTTAGTAACTTTATCTTGCCTTTTATGATAGACAAAGCAATAGCTCAAAAAATGGTTTTATTATGCAAAATTTATCTTTGGCTGAACTAACTATCAGCTTCAACTAACTACCATCAATGTCTCTGTTAGTTAGAAACGCCTTGGTGAGATTAACAGTTTACTAGAAGCTCAATTGGAACGCTGCATCTGACAGAACAAAGTACTACAGTACAAGTTGGAACTGAAAAATATGATTTGATTTTTCAGGTGGAAGGCGCCAGATGTAACGTGATTATTTTATGTCAGTAAGCAGATCAAACATTTTGTAAGATGGAGATGAAACATCGATGGATGCTAGTTGCTTTGGATGATATATCATTTTGTAAAGAACTGCTTGGGGATGGATGCTAGTTGCTTTGGATGATGTAACATTTTGTAAAGAACTCCTTGGGCATGTTAGCTGTGAGGTGTGCTAGCTAGACTTGTGTGTTGTGAAGAATACTGTAATTTGGTGTCTCATGTTACTGTGAGGTGCAACCTAACATGACTATTACATGTACCAATTGGCATGAATGAAATCTAAGCTATGTCATTATGACTCGATTTTGTGTCTCATGTTGAATGTGACCTTGTATGTTTCATGTCTAAAAGAATACTGTAATTTGGTTAATATGAGATTAATAATGTATTTTTGCGCCATGTGATCTATGCGTTGGATTGTTGGTTGGTATAAATCCCTTTAGCCTTGAACTGTTGGACGGTAAAACTACTATACATTTCGTCAGACTATCGGTCGCTAAAAGTATGTCGGTCACTATAACCCTATCCCGATGCCACTTTCAGCGGCAGCAGTTAAGTGTCGGCATAGATCTATACCGACCGATAGTGCGTCGCTGTATCCACCTATAGCGACCAATGGTGCATCGCCATTCTGGGGCTGTGGTGTAGTGAATGGAAAGGCTTGAGTCAATCCAGTTCAAGACAATTTTTGTTAGTTTACCAATTTTCTGATTAAATTAGAACCAACGGGAAGATTTAATTAGAAAATAAGGTATAAGTGAATGTTTTAGTCGTCATGACTAAGTTTTCGTGTAGATGTATCCCGCAAGGGGAGATGTTTTGGCATAGTACTTATGCTAGTCAATCCTGTATGGAGGGAGAAGTTTTATGAGGACTCACATATTTTGTATCCCGCATAGCGAGAGAAGGTTGGGTAGCTCTTATGTTGTCCTAATATTAACCTTGGCATAATAGAAATACATCGTCATGGTCAATATTGACCAAAGGATAAGAAAAGATGCAAGCGCGACTTGCAAAAGTACAGCTAATGAAAGACCTCGTTGAGTTGTTGAAGTAAAATAAGGAAAGTGTACTCCTAAACGGATAAGAAATAACTTTGTTTATATGACATAATCATGTGAATGAAGTAAGTTATAAGTGTCTCCTCGTTTACAGGCTTTCTGAATAGTTATCGAAATTATGGCAGTAAAGTTCATGCCATATTTCGATGGGGGGAATATTAAGATCAATTAAGAAAAATACTCTTCATTAAGAGTGAGATAAAGATCAATTAAGAAAGATACTCTTCATTATGAGTGAGATAAAGATTAATTAAGATAAAACCGTTGGAGGAGTACAACGTCACAACAATGATACCCCTAAGCAGAGAAATAGCTAAATTCCAGGATCTTTTAAAGTTCCGAGAGGAAGATAGCGTAGTCAGTCTCAAAGATGTTAAGGTGGTGCTTAAAGCGCCATATGAGAGTTTAACGGATTAAACCCAAAATAAGATATTTGAAGATACACTATCTTTAGAAAAGATGGGAAGAATAGGGGGAGCATGGTATGTAGAGGTATGTAGAGACCTAAGATTTGAAGAGAAACGGGACTGCATGCCCACTTCAGTGATTCAAAAATAACGAATTTCTCAATACCTGTTGATGTTGTATGATTTATACAACTCCAGTTGTTGGCTTTTCGAATAAGGATCTTGCGATACAGGAGCCTGTAGAATCAATTGCCTCTTGGCAATGAAGAGCAACAACAGCCCTATATGAAAGTGCCAGTAGCTGAGGCTCTAGAAGGTCTCAAAGAATTAGTAAACTAGTTTTTCCGATGACTATGAAGTCCATATTAGTAAAGAAATTCAAATAGAGGGTGATTCCACCTCATTTAAAGAAGCCATGAGAAACGTTTACTCATTTAAATGGCAAGAAGCTATGGAAGTTAAAATGAATTAGATGAATACCAACGATTTTTTGGACTTAGAAGTAATTCCTAATGGAGCCAAAATAGTAGGCTGTTAATGGGTCTACAAGACAAAATGTGACTCCAAAGGAAATGTAGAAAAATATAAAGTTGGACTTGTAGCAATATGCTTTATGCAAAGAAAATAAAAAGATTATGATGAGAGTTTTCTCTCTAGTCTCATGCAAGGATTCTTTAGAATCATAATGGTGTTCATGGCATATTACGATTTAGAAATACATCAGATGGATGTAAAGACAGCATTCCTCATCGGGGATTTATATGAAAATGTTTACATGGCATAACCCAAAAAGGTTTTGTCGTGGAAGAAAAGGACATAAAGGATGCCGCATGTAGAAATCCATTTATGAGTTAAAAGTAAGTCTCTAGACAGTAGTATTTAAAGTTGATGAAACGATAAAAAGTTTGGGTTTTAAAGAAAATAAAAAGGACAATAGCGTTTATGCAAAGCTCAGGAATGGAAAATTCACTTTCCACATCATGTGAATAGATGATATTCTACTCATTAGTAGTGATGTTAATCTATCATTGAAGAAGAAGAAGTTTTGTCCACAAGTTTCAATGTGAATGATCTTGGTGAAGCATCGTTGGTTCGAGGAATCGAAATTCACCGAGATAGAAGAAAATGGGGTATTAGGACTATCGCAAAGACATACTTATAAAAGATTCTAAAGAAGTAAAGTATGCATGCGAGTAAACCTGCGCCTGCTTCTATAGTCAAGGGTAATAGTTTTGGGAACTTTAAGTGTTTTAGAACCGATATGAGATCCATCAAAAGAATATGGTTTCGTATGTTTCAGCTGTTGAAAGCTTGATGTGTGTACAAGTACAAGTAAGAACTTACCCTGACGTAGTTTATGTATCCGGGATATTTTGACAGAAGTCCAGTTCAGATATAGAGCACTGGAATTGAGTTGAGAATGTCTTGCAATTTTGCAAAGTATCATAGGCCTCATGCTGAGTAAGAAAGAACAAGTAGTCTTAAATAGTTGAGGATACAGATGTTAAGTCTTGGCGAGATGTGTAGTGAAATCCACAGCAGTTGCCAACACTTGCAGTTGGAGTATTATTGTGGAAAAGCTCCAAAGAAACAGTTGTGGTGTCATCAGTGATGCATACCATGGTATAGCTTGACATGAGGCTTAAGGAACAGGCAAAAGGTAGTTAAGGGAATATGTATCCGGATTTAACAATGGTAGACAACAACAATAACCATTTAAAGTAAGTTAACTCCTAAGATAAAAGGTCAAGTGTACTGCCAAACACATTTGACACTTAGTTATATGTTGTAAAGGAGAAAATCCAGAATCAATTTGAAAGCATTGAGCACATAAGTACCGAGTAAGTACTTGCGAATCCGCTTACCAAAGGCTAACCACCCAGTGCGTTCAGAGAACACACAGTCGATATGTGTTTATGGGAAAGCCTATGATTTCTAGATACTAAGGGCCTAGTTGAGTATCTGTTTCAAAACGGAGAGGTGCATTATAGTTGTTAAATCTAATGGTAACTGACCGTGATGATGAAGCACGTTCTATGCACTGATCTGTGATGGAATGAAAAAAAGATAAAGAAAGTTGAGTTTAAGTATGAGGTGAGATCAAGGAAGAGATTGCTAGTGTTGATCTCATCCGACTCGGTCCAACGGTCGAGTCGGGCCTTGATCCAGTGCCCTGATTGGGGGCATCCAACCAAACGAAGGTTGATGGGCCCCCGTCACGTAACACTATATAGAGGGACGTGGGGGACCAGGGCGCAGAGATGAGGTCAAGACAGCCGCCACGATCCCCACTGACTACCCTAACCCTACCGATCAAGGGAGTGCTGAAGCGGCGGGAAGTGCCACATCCGGACCACCAGCACCTCGCCTCGCCGACAGTCGCCGTCACTGCACCACACCTGTATTGCTATGACACCGGCGGCTACGTCACTGCGGCGCCATGGCCGCAACTACCCTAGGACGAGGTACATCACCAAGCTTCTCCATGTAAGTCAAATTTTATCTCATGATCTACGATTCTAGAGGTACAATGATCAATCAGTTCATTCACGTCGCAAACAGTATCTATCGATCGTTTTCTTACACTCTGCACTGCGTTTACCGGCCTTCCGTGGTGAAGGATATGGAAATGGAGTTCCTGGACTCGTCCTCAGCGATATTAGCCAGCACAGAGGCCCCGGTCGTGTTCGTGTTCGTGTCGGTGCCGAACGTGCTGCCGCTGGTGGTGTTCGTGTTGGAGGCGCCCGATGCCGACGCCGACGATCCTGAAGCCCCCGTCGTCGTTGTCGTCCACCGGCCGGTCCTGCCATGGATCGCCGGCTTCCCGGGCTTGGGCAGCGTGAACGAGTCGCTCGACAGCATCAGGTGCACGCTGTGCATGTCGGGCCGGTCAGACACCACGGCCTGGCAGCACAGCAGGCCGAGCTGGACGCACAGCAGCGCCTGCTCGCTGTCGTCGGGGTTGGACAGAGACGGGTCCACGATCTCCAGGGACCGTCCTTCTTCGAACAGCTTCCATGTCTGAATAAAAGTTTCAGAAGATTCAGCACATCGTCAGACTGTTGTCGATTTATACTATCTACTACTACTCCGTCCTAAATTGTAAGACGTTTGACTTTTTTTCCCCCTAAGTTTGACCACTCATCTTATTTAAAAAATTTGTGCAAATATAATCAAATTTAAATCATTCTTGAAGAATTTTTATTAATAAACCAAATCACGACGAAAGAAGTGATATTTTACACAAATTTTTGAATAAGACGAGTGGTCAAACTTGGTGTCAAAAAAGTCAAACGTCTTATAATTTGAAATGGGTTGAGTACTATACTACGCAGAGGAATTTCTCTTTCTGACGAGGAGATCTGAGCACTTACATAGTTCAAGAGGTCGATCTTTTCGTCGTCCGGATGCCGAACGATGTTCTTCCGTCCGCTCACTATCTCCAGCACCAGGATCCCGAAGCTAAAGACGTCAGTCTTCGTGGACAAGTAGCCGTTCAATGCGTACTCTGGAGCCATGTAACCACTGCAATTCATCACCATACGGCATTTGTACAGGCACAGGCTGCGGATACAAGGCGAGACGCTAAAAAGAGTCGTCTGAACTCACTACGTGCCGGAGATTCTGAATGTGTTCACGTGCGTGGCGTCCTCCAGGAAGAGCCTCGCCATGCCGAAATCTGAAATCTTTGGGTTCAGCTGGTCGTCGAGGAGCACGTTGCTCGCCTTGATGTCTCGGTGGATGATCTTTACCGGAGATTCTTCGTGAAGGTACAGGAGCCCTCTTGCCAATCCGATGATTATATGGTACCGTTTTGGCCAATCTAGCTGGGCACACTTCTTCCTGTCTAATAAAGTAGTCCAAGGATCGGAACAGAATGCCACTGTGTCATCCTAATCTACTATTATCTAACGAAATGTATGCACTATGCATTTTTAATACACCCAGTTTTCAAAAGATAGTATAGTTATGCGCAAGCTGAAGCTTGCACAAAGCTCCAGTAGGTAGTTGAGTAAACCTGTATGCAGTTCTGTTTCTTCACAACACCAGCACAACGGTAGATGACACTCGGCCTCTGTGATCATCTGAAATGCCACCAAAATACAACTCCCTCCATTCCACTAAATACATAGCTTTGATATATACCTAGATATATATTAGGTCAAGATACATAATAAAAGCTTGTCGAATGGAGGAAGTACGCTAAGGAACTAATTCCTGTCCTTCAAGGATTGAGTAAGATGAAAGCGTACTGTCCAATATTTCCATTTCTCTCTTTTGTATATATTTTTCATAAAATTTAGTTTTATTTCATTTGTTCACATGGATGCTTCTGGTGACAAAAAGTCCTAATGAAAGAAATGGTCAATGAAAGGATCATGTACGTCAACTGATCTGATGTGATATGTTGAGCCTTTGAGATCAAGTAGCTAGCTTCCGTGGCGTTAAGGTCAACAGATTACTAGTACTTGGAAACAGCTGCTATATAAACTTCAGAGCTGACTCACTTAAAAGACTTCTTCCAGACTGAATACACCGCTGGCTGTCTGGCTTAGCTACCTTTTGAATATGACATTGATGTATTGCATTTGATTTTGTCACAAAACATACTAGTACCTGTCACCAACCAGCATTAAAATACTAAAGGTAAAGTCCAATTTACACCCTCCAACTTTCATCGAAGTCCGGATTTCAACCTCGAACTTCAAAACCGGACAACTTTGGCCCTCCAACTCTCGAAAAAGTTCAACTTTTGACCTTATGTGCGGTTTTGTGGGTGAACAGTAACTTTTGATATTTTTGGGAGCGCCGAAATTTTATATTATTTTTTCGAGCATCTTAATGTCCTCAAATGAAAAAACTCAAAACTACAAAGTTGTAAATCTCATCGAGTTCTACAATTTACATATAAAAATTATCTTCATCCGACATCGTATTGAAGGGTTTTCTATTTTTTGAAATTTGAGTCTCATCACGCGATAAAATATGGTGCTGAAATTTTATATTATTTTTTCGAGCATCTTACTGTCCTCAAATGAAAAAAATTAAAACTATAAAGTTGTAGATCTCATCGAGGTCTACAATTTACATATAAAAATTATCTTCATCAGACATCGTATTGAAGGGTTTTCTATTTTTTGAAATTTGAGTCTCATCACGCGTGAAACAATTTTGTCTCATGATGAGACTCAAATTTTAAAAAATAGAAAACCCTTCAATACGATGTCGGATGAAGATAATTTTTATATGTAAATTGTAGACCTCGATGAGATCTACAACTTTATAATTTTAATTTTTTTTAATTTGAGGACAGTAAGAAGCTCGAAGAAATAATATAAAATTTCAGCACCATATTTTATCGCGTGATGAAACTCAAATTTCAAAAAATAGAAAACCCTTCAATACGATGTCGGATGAAGATAATTTTTATATGTAAATTGTAGACCTCGATGAGATCTACAACTTTGTAGTTTTGAGTTTTTTTATTTGAGGACGTTAAGATGCTCGAAAAAATAATATAAATTTTTGGTGCTCCCAAAAATATCAAAAGTTACTGTTCACCCGTAAAACCGCCCAGAAGGTCGAAAGTGGAACTTTTTCGAGAGTTGGAGGGCCAAAGTTGTCCGGTTTTGAAGTTCGAGGTTGAAATCCAAACTTTGGTAAAAGTTGGAGGGTCTAAATTGGACTTTACCCAAATACTAAAAGGGAAGAGGGGGGGTGCGTGTTCCCTCTATCTCTATCAAAAGTAGCTGCCTTTCGTTTCAAAAAAAAGAAGAAGAAGAAGAAGAAGAAAAAAGTAGCAGCCTTGCATTATAAACTGATCCCCATTCCCTATTTGTTGTTCGGAACTCCGAAAATATAAACTGAATGAACTGATTCAGTGACTATGTTACTAAGATGTGTTTTACAAACATGCAGTAAAAAAAAACAATCAAACTGAGAAATATATGCTTATTCCACACCATACATAATCAGCAATAGCATGCCACGATGGCAACCAATTCAGAGCAAACACAAAAGAGGCAGAGCAGGTCTTACCGAAGAGAATGTGGTCGAGGCTGCCATTGGGGAAGTAGGGATAGACGAGCAGGAAATGACCTGAGGAAGCACAGCAGCCAAGCAGAGACACCAGGTTGCGGTGCTGCACCTTGAGCAGGAGCCGGACCTCGTTCAGGAACTCGCGCACGCCTTGCCGTGACCCCATCGACAGCTTCTTCACAGCGATCTGCTGCCCGTTCTCCATCACCCCCTGAAAGGATCGAGTACAAGGAGTTTCAGTCTTTCCTAGACAGGGTTGACACCATGAGTTATGTTCTTTCTGGAAAGATACAGTACCAGTATGTATATGTAAAGAAACTGAAATGCTGAATGCATAGCACTTTCATGGTCAAAACGTAGTGTTTTCTTAACAGGTTGCAGTTGGGCGTTGTTGAACAAGCCAATTTCAATAAAGAAGATATGCACAAGGACAATAGCAGTAGCACATGCGATGAATCTGATCCGTGGCCCTGCAGAAGCGTTGACAACGAAATATCTTTGCATTCATGTGAAAATTGGCTACACCGTTTGTACTTGTAGTATGACAAAACGAAGATAGAACGTTGAAAGTGTGTCCATCTTGTTCATCAGAAGAGTAAAAACAGAGGCGGAAGTAAATCTACATCTTCATCGAGTTATTACGCTACCCAGTTTCTGAAAATGCAGTTCTCTGCCTAAGCAGGTACTCCTAACTTGTTACAGAGGCAGAGAGCGAAGAAAAAGAAATTTTCGCATGAATCTTTTGCTTAAATCAATTATTATATACACACAGTATTATTAAATAACCAAGGTACACAAGATAAACAGATTGGCTGGCCGGCCAATTGGGCTCTAGGAAAACCTACACCAGTACAGTATAGTCTTCTGAAGCAATAAATAATCGAGCGAGAAAATAAATAAATAAATCACTTAAAAAGCTGAAGTGATGTGTGGAGGGAGAGAACAGAGAAGAGAGAACACGTGTGAGGTTGCCTTGTAGACGGGGCCGAAGCCGCCGCGGCCGAGGAGGTTGTCGTCGGAGAAGCCGCCGGTGGCGGCCTCGAGGACGGGCAGGTCGATGAAGAGGCTCCACTCGTCGCCCTCCTCGGCGCGCCCCGACGCGCCCGCAGCCCCGTCGCTGTTCCCCCTCCTCCTCCCCACGCAGCACCCGCAGGTCCACGTCCACGACCGCGCCGCGGCCGGCATGGCCACCTAACAACTGACGCGCGGACAAGCAGAGCCGCGGGACTGCGGGATGGTGGCAGGGCACTCGGCTGCTCTGCGCGCGAGGCCGGGGAAGCAAACAAGCAGAGGCAGCCGAACACAAGACACCTGAACTGCTTGCTTTGCTCCGCGCCACGACAGGACGCGCTGGCGGAGGCGAAGAGTCAAAGGACGGTGGGTGGCGCGGCGCGACGCGCGAGACGGCGTGCTTGACCAGCGGGATGGTCTCCGGTCGAGACGGGTCCACGCCACACACACACTTGCCCGTGAGGGTTCTGTAGCGGCTGTCGTCGCGGCCGCGCGGGAGTGCAGCGAAGCTAAGTCCAGGTAGTTGTAGTTGTTAGGATTGATCTGCTCCGTCCAACGACTGAGTCGCACGCCGTGACCGTGTCCTGATTGGAGACACACAACCGTCACTAGTCGGCGGGCCCCTGTCACACAGCGCTATAGGAGAGAGGTGGGGGCCGGGGCGCTAGACATGAGGTTCAACGCCGTCATTGGACCCTACCGAAGAACCCTAAAATCCCCTCCGATCGTGGGCAGCGCTGCAAGTGACGGGAAGCGCCGCCGGCAGCCCCCCGCCCTCTGGACTCCACTGCGCCTACGCTGTCACGACACGGGCGTCCACATCGCTGCGGCGCCATGGACGCAACTACGCTAGGGCGAGGTACATGAACCAGTTTCCCCATCTAAGAGCAGTTTATCCCCTAATCTACGTTTTAGAGGTATTATTTGCTATCAATGGTACCAGAGCCAGGTTATCCTACTGTGTAGATTGTAGATCGGGGTAGAAAAGTGAAATAGAATTAGAACCGAAACCCTAACTCTAAGGATGAAGACAGCCGTCATGCGGGAAGAAGACCGCACTGCCGCTTCGACGGCGTGCAGGATGGAAGCCACCCCGAGCCGCTATGGGCGCGTGGGGTAAGAGAAAGAAAGAAGGGGAAGAACAGCAAAAGAAAGAGGGCTCGATTCGGCCCGATTCGGATCGACCCAGACAATGAACCCTAACCCTAACTCGCGAAAAGAAGTCGGGGAAGATGAACAGAGGGTTCGACCCCGAACCCTAACCCTAACCTAGAAGAAGGACGGAGAGGGGAGGGGGCCTACCCGGGTTTCTCTCGCCGCCGTCGCCACCGCCGTCATGCGGGAAGGTGACCCCGCCACCGCGCGGAATCCACCCGAGCCGCGCCGGCTCGTCGGCGTTCCGCTGCGCCGCCCGCACACTCAGGGCACCACCGCAAGGCCGCTCGACGGCGGCGCGCTCACCCTCGGATGAACGTGCGCGGCGGCGAGGGGGCCTGCGGCGGCGCCATAACCTTCCTCCGGCCATCGCTGCGCTCCTCGACTGCATTGAGAGAGAAGGGGAGGAAGAAAAGAATGGCTAGGGTTTCGGGAGTCAGTCGACGACGCGCCGGTTTTGTTTGGCCGAAATCAGCGCGTGGCCGTCGATCTCAGATGAACGGCTCAGAGTGATCGGGCTGGATTTCGGCCCAGGCGGGCGCACGCGGAAGGCCACTTTACCGGCCCAGGCCAAGGTTACGGCCTGGGAAGGCACCGCAGGCGCGCGAGGAACGTGGACCGGGCCGATTTGTAGCCGGGCCTTATGAATAGGATCAGTTTGAGCTTTTTCCTTTTTCTTCTTTTTCTAGTGAATTTAGTTTTTTCCTAGAAATTGATTATTGGCTCAAATAAAATTAATTTTGAGGAGTTTTTCCTATGGGTAAAATTCACCAATTACGTTTATGTTTCCACTGCAAAGTTTAAAGTTTATTATCTTCTAATTAAATTCGAACCAACGGAAAAATTTAAATTAGAGGAGTAGTCCATTATTGTTTGAGTAAGATTACGGTATTGTCATTTTCTGACCAACGTTGATGATGACAATATTATAACGAATTTAAGTTTGAAGTTTAAATCTCTGATAAATTTTACACCAACGTGGTGAAATTTTCAGAGAGTAGATAAGAATCAAGAAATGCTCCTGAACTAAAAGAATGTATTTTATTATTAAGTCTCCGCTGCGATGAAGATGATGATCTTCTAATTAAATTCGAACCAACGGGAGAATTTAATTTTGAAGAGTAGTTATGCGGATTTCCAGTTAATTTATGAGTTTTAATGCATCAATTCTATTTTCTACCCAATGGTGATGTTGAATTGTTGCAGAAGCACATTGTATGTTTTACTTTTAACCGACAAGATTACTTGGCTACATATCAAAGGGCTACAATGCTGGGGTATGTGAATGAAAAGGCTTGAGTCAAGCCAGTTCAGGACAGTTTTTGTTAGTTTAATAATTTTCTGATTAAATTTGAACCAACGGAAATATTTATTTGGAAAATAAAGTATAAGTGAATGTTTTAGTCATCAAGACTAAGTTTTGTATAGATCTATCCCGTATGGGAAGAAGTTTTGGCATAGTAATTATGCTAGTCCATCCAGCATGGCGGGAGAAGTTTTGTGATGACTCACATGTTTTTGTATCCCGCATAGCGAGAGAAGTTTGGATAGCTCTTATGCTATCCTAGTATTGACCATGGCACAATAGAAATACATCGTCATGGTCAATACTAATCAAAGGATAAGAAAAAAAAGATGCAAGCGTGACTTGCAAAAGTACTGCTAATGAAAGACCTCGTTGAGTTCTTAAAGTGAATTAAGGAAAGTGTACTCCTAAACGGATTAAGAAATAACTTTGTTTATATGACACAATCATATGAATGAAGTAAGTTATAAGTGTCTCCTCGTTTATAGGCTTTCTGAATAGTTATCGAAATTATGGCAGTAAAGTTCATGCCATATTTTGAGGGGGAGAATATTAAGATCAATTAAGAAAAATACTCTTTATTAAGAGTGAGATAAAGATCCATTAAGAAAGATACTCTTCATTAAGAGTGAGATAAAAATTAATTAAGATGCATACGACCATCGGAGGAGTACAATGGTCATAATAATGATATCCCTAAGTAGAGAAATAGCTAAATTTTTGGGCCTTTTAAAGTTCCGACAGGAAGATAGCGTAGTCAGCATCAAAGATATTAAAGAGGTGCTTAAAGCGTCATATAAGGTTTTAACAGATTGAACCCAAATAAGAAATTAGAAGATACACTATCTTTAGAAAAGATGAAAAGATCTGGGAGAGCATGGTATGTAGAGGTATGTAGAAACCTAAGACTTGAAGAGAAGAGGGACTGTGTGCCCACTCCAGTGACTCAGAAGCAATAAGTTTCTCAATACCTATTGATGTTGTATGACCAATACAACACCTGTTGTTAGCTCTTCGAAGAAGATGAATAATGTAAATAAGGATCTTATTATACAGGAGCCTATAGAATCAATTGTCTCTTGGCAATGAAGAGCAACAACAGTCCCATATGAAAGTGCCAGTAGCTGAAGCCCCAGAAGGTCTTAAAGAATTAGTAAACTAGTTTTTTCTGATGACTATAAAGTCTATGTTAGTAAAGATATTCAAATAAAGGGTGATCCCACCTCACTTGAAGAGGCCATGAGAAGCGTTTACTCGTTTGAATGGCAAGAAGCTATGGAAGTTGAAATGAATTCGATGAATACCAACGATATTTGGGACTTAGAAGTAATTCCTAATGGAGCCAAAACAGTAGGCTGTTAATGGGTCTATAAGTCAAAATATGACTCCAAAAGGAATGTAGAAAGATATAAAGCACGACTTGTGGCAATATGCTTTAAGCAAAGAGAATGAATAGATTACAATGATAGTTTTCTCTCCAGTCTTATGTAAGAATTACTTTAGAATCATAATGGTGTTAATGACAAATTACGATTTAGAGTTACATCAGATGGATGTAAATACGGCATTCCTCAACGGAGATTTATAAGAAAACGATTACATGGCACAACCCAAAAGGTTTTGTCGTGAAAGAAAAGAATGTATGGGATACCGCCTATAGAAATCCATTTATGGGTTAAAACAAGTCTCTAGACAATAGTATTTGATGTTGATGAAACGACAAGAAAGTTTGGGTTTTAAGAAAAATGAGAAGGACAATAGCGTTTATGTGAAGTTCAAGAATGGAAAATTCTTTTTCCACATCCTGTGAATAGATAACATTCTACTCACTAGTAGTTGTGGTGTCATTAGTGATGCATACCATAGTATAGCTTGACATGAGGCTTAAGGAACACGTAAAAGAAGGTTAAGTGAATTTGTATCCGGATTTAAAAATGGTAGACAATAGCAATAACCATTTAAAGTAAGTTAACTGCTAAGACAACAAGTCAAGTGTGCTACCAAACACATTGACACTAAGGTATATGTTGTAAAGGAGAAAATCCATAATCATTTTAAAAAGCATTGAGCACATAAGTACCGAGTAAGTACTTGCGGATCCGCTTACCAAAGGCTAACCACCCAGTGTGTTCGGAGAACACATAGTCGACATAGATTTATGGGAAAGCCTATGATTTCTAGATACTAAGGGTCTAGTTGAGTATATGTTTCAAAATAGAGAGGTGCGTTGTAGCTGTTTAATCTAATAGCAACAGATCGTGACGATGAGGCACGCTCTATGCACTAATCTGTGATGGAATGGGAACAAGATAAAGTAAGTTAAGTTTAAGTCATAAGATGAGATCAAGGGGGAGAATGTTAGGATTGATCTCATCCAACTCAGTCCAACGACTGAGTCGGACCCCTTGACCGTGCCCTGATTGGGGACACACAACCGACCACTAGTCGGTGGGCCCCTGTCACACAGCGCTATAAGAGAGAGGTGGGGCCAGGGCGCTAGACACGAGGTTCGACGCCGCCACTGGACCCTACCGAAGAACCCTATAATCCCCTCCCATCATGGGCAGCGCTGCAAGTGACGGTAAGCGCCGCCGGCAGCCCCCGCCCTCTGGACTCCACCGCGCCTACCCTACCATGACACCGGCGTCCACATCGCTACGGCACCATGGATGCAATTGCGCTAGGGCGAGATACAGGAACCACTTTCCCCATC